CTCTTTATAGAACTCAGTAGAGAACCCGTCTGGACCTGGCGCTTTATTGTTTGGCAAGCTTTTTAATGCTTCCTGAACTTCAGCTGTAGACAGCGGTGAGTCCAGGGTCAGTCTTTGACTCTCTGATAATTTAGGTAGAGTTATTTTATCCAGAAATCGCTTGTTATCATTATCTGATGGATTTAACTGTGATGTGTATAAAGATTTATAGAAGTCTCAGAAGGCATGGTTAATATCCTCCGGATCCTGTAATATATTACCAATTGGGTCTGTAACTGTTTTTTTTTTTTTTTTTTAGCTGATTAGCTAAGACATTTCCTGACTTATTGCTATGTTCAAAGTTATCAATTCTGAGTCTTTGAATTAAAAATGTATTTTGTTTTTCAATATATTCGTTTAGTTCTAGTTCTAGTAATTTTTCCTAATCTAGCGAGCTTTCTAGTAACTTTATTTTTTCCTCTAATTCCTGGACCTTTTTTGTTCTAACTTTTTTTTATGAGATGAGAATGAAATAATTTTACCTCTCATCACTGCTTTACCTGCTTCCCATAGTATAGATGCTGATGGTCCTGGTAAATCATTGCACACCAAGTATGATGCCCACTCTTCCTTGAAAAATTTGAGAAACTCTTCATCTTTAAGCAGTGATGTATTTGATCTCAAGCTCTTGTTTTGTGCGTTATTTTTTTACTTTTTAGGGTTAAAGTAACAGGAGCATGATCACTGACAGTAATAGGATGGATTACAGCATCTGAGACATCAGACAGCAGCGAGCTGCTGATTAGAGAAATAGTCCAAACAAGAGTAGGAATGATGGACATTAGAAAAGAAAGTGTATTCCTTATTGTTAGGATGAAGAGATCATGCATCCCAAAGACCAAAATCACTCATGTATTGTTTGACTATATTTGATGATTGCCAACTGCGCTGAATCCCTGTTGTATTCAACCTGTCCATTTCTCCATTTAGACCCAAGTTGAGGTCACCCCCAATAATTAGAGAACAGTCCCCGTGCTTTGAAAGTGCATGAAAAAGTTTGTGGAAGAATGAGGGATCATCAACATTTGGACCATATATGCTGACAATACACCCATTTTGGTTATGAATAGATATTTTAATTATGATGAATCTGCTTCAGGATCTATAATTTTGTCTAAAAAAGTAAAACTGAGGTTTTTGTGGATTAAAATTGCTGCTAGTTTTACCGATATGCCTGGAAGACTACCACTGATGATCTCGCTCTCAAAATGGAATTGAATGATTCAGATTAGCTAGCAGAATGAATATAAGGGGTAGAGCGTAACTGTACCTGTTATGATTCCAGTCCGGTTGCGTGGATGATGTCATACACACTCTGCTTTGTTTTTAAAATATATAAATATAAAAAATATAACCGCGGATGTCTCAGGGACAATAATTCGCCTACATGTTATGAATGCTGGCGTACCATAAACAAAAAATTATGAACAATTTAGTTTGTGCCTTCAACTCGTTGCCCATAGGAAGACGTTACTTGGATATAACAGAATATCTTCTGAACGGCTCCAAATGACACAAAACTTATATGGGTGAGTAGAACATTATGTAATAATGTAAAATCAAGGAACCAATGTAAAAAAAAAAATGCAAAGTTTCCCTTTAACCTTGAGCGAGATTAGTAAGAGCTTTGCTGAATTTGCAGGGTAAGTGTCACGTTAATGTTAGTGTAACATAGGCGTAACTTTCTGAAGAATTGGTGTGGACATGTCCCCCACCAACCTTGGCCTGGTGGGGCAGTCCGCACCACTAATTTGCACTTTTGTTTCCCTTTCCACTCATTTAATTTGTCCTACAGAAACTCGTGACAGGTGCAGCTGTCTGTGTTCGGAGCGTTTTCATTCAAAGTTTTTTCTCTCTATCCCGCTGCCTACCGGTGTAAGATTACACCATATAACATTACTAGACCTGTCCACAGCCCTGTAGGTAAGACTCCTAACTCTAACAGCTCTGGATCTGTCACTTTGCAAAATTTGTCTCCATGATTGGCGGTGGCTATTCATTGCGTACGTCGTAGTGACCAGTGGAGAGACAACACACAATAGCAGTAAATTTAAACTGGCAGTTGCTTTGCATTTTATTTAGAACCAAGAGTTACAAGCTAGGTTGGTTAAAAACAAAAAAAACTAAGATGCCACCGAAAAAGCCTTTAGACATGCACAGCTTCAGAACAATTGACAGCAACAGAGTGTTTTTGCTATGCAGGTTAGTATTATAATTTAAAATATTATTTAAATGTTGTTTTCCTCTTTTCTAGTTAAAAAAAGCTATTTTTCTCAGTTCCTCAGAGGATAATGACTCACAGTTACAGGTAAAGACTAAAATTTATTGTTTTCCTTTTTTTTTATTTACCAGACTGTGAGGGTTCTAGAGATCCAAATTGCCGAGATTTTAAAGTCATTCAGAGGTGACTAGAATATTAGTCTTTTTAACATCATTATGTTAGTAGACATCTTAATGCCATGTGTTTTTCAGCAGGACACAAAGACAGAAATTAACAGCTACAGATGTAAAAAAAAGAGATTTGCTGGGATATGAAAAATGCAGTACAATCTCAGTAATATTTTACAAGAAAAACATGTTATGTTATATTTAAAGTGCACTTTTGTCTTTTTTCAAAATCAGCAAGACTCGGAAATAGCTCAACCAGCCAACTCAGCCTCAGAGCCAGACTTACAACTGAGGGACTTAAAATGAAAGTATAAGGATTCAAAGCACAAACAATACAGACAAAAAGTGGATGTATGAATTAAAATGAAACCTTTGATATTCAGACTTTGTCAAATATATGTGTGGGGAAAAAAAAATCTTAATTAGATTTTGCTGCTTGTGAAGGGGAATAATAATCAATGATACAGATGACATGGAAGCCATCCATCTATCTGGGAATCATAATTTGCAGTCTGTTAGTTTTAGTAGACTTTCATATTTTTTTTTTTATCACAGGACTCGTGGATGGGTGGGTGAGTGGCTGGTTGGATGGATGATTTTCCTATTTGAAATTGTGTATAAGCAGGGATGCCCAATGTATTGCCTTTGACACGAGTATAAGCTGTTACTATTTTTTTTTTAGAATTGTTGATTGAAAGTCACAGCTGCCAGAGCAGAGCTGGATGACCATAATTCATATTTATAACAATAAAAGAAACATAATAAAAGAAATATAATTAAAGAAACAAAATTAAGTTCCCCTTTGATAAGAGAAATAATTTTGCCCCGGGATAAAAAATCCTTTTCAGGTCTTTTAGCTAAATCTTAGTCTGTATATCAACTTAGAGTGTGGTGTGACGGGGCCATGGATAAATTGCAAGATTGTCTTGATTGACTGGAATGCAATCCCTCACACTAAGCATGCTTGTAGCGAAAGTGGAGAGGAAAGACTCCTCTTTAACAGAAATGAAGCTCCAGCAGAACCAGGCTCAGTGTGAGCAGCAATCTGCCGAGGCTGACTGGGGTTTAAGAAGACAGAAGCAGAGATACAAAAATCAACTGTAAAAGATAGTGCCATCCCGGAAACACACAGCCAGGCAGACGAGCTCTGAGCTAAGTCCCATGTCAGAGGATGAAGAGAGCACACCCAGCCAGTCACAGTCAGTGAAACAGGAGTACACCTAAAAACAGTCAGATTTCGAACATCTATAACAAAGGTGTTGATGGCAGCAACACTGCTGATATTTCTACACCAGGGGGAGGAGGCACTAAACCTGGACGTTGCTAAAGTGAGGAAAACTCTGAGGAGAGTCAACCCAAGAAAGGCCAGAAGCCCCAATAACATATCTGGGCAGGTGGTCAACTGGCTGGTGTCCTCACAGACATTTTTAAAACCTTGCTGGTTTGCCACCATCATTCTGGTGCCAAAGAAGCCTCAGGTCACCTCACTCAATGACTACCGGCCTGTCGCACTGACTCATGAGTATCGTGATGAAGCGCTTCGAAAGACTGGTTAAAGAACACATCTCCAGTCTCCATCCTACAAACGATCCGTTCCAGTTTGCCTTCACCCCTCCACTGAAGATGCTTTCTCCTCTGCTCTTCACCTGAGCCTAGCACACCTGGCGGAGCCCAGTCACTACAGACACAGCAACCCTCAGGGCTCTGTCCCAAGTTCACCACCAATCACATTGTGAAGTTTGCAGACAACACTACGGTGGTGAGCCTCTTTAGAGATAACAATGGCCAGGACTACAGAGAAGAGGTGGACTGCAGAGATAACAGCCTGATCCTGAATGTGGAGAAAATAAAGGAGATCATCTTCAACTTCAGGAGGAACTGGCCTAACCATGCCCTACTGCTCATCACCTGCCCCCACCCATCCTCACAACCTTCTACAGGAGCACCAAAGAGAGCATTCTGACCTGCTGTCTAACTATGTGGTGTGGAGGCTGTAGTGCCACACACTGGGAAAAAAACATGAGAAGAGTGGTGACAACAGCAGAGAGGATCATAGTGGCTCCTCTTCACTCCACAAAAAATATTTCACCCAAGCACTGCGTGTCCCAAGCCTGTAATATCATAAATGACCCCTCACATCCCCAACATGGGCTGGTCTCGCTGCTGCCCTCTGGGAAGAGGCTTCGAAGCATTCCGTGCAGGTCCAGCAGATTCCAAAATAGCTTCTTGCTCACTGCCATCAGACAGTTGAACCATTGAAAAAACTCACAATCATGTCACAGACTCTGCATCACACTTGCATATCAATGCCTTTTTTGTACCATTTTTTTTTTTTCTCCCACATTGTTTACATTTGATCATTGCTGCACTTTAAGAAATGGAAATGAAAGCTGTACAAAATGATTGTGCTGTGTATAAAAAATGACAAATAGCTGTCTAAGTCTAACTTGACTGTTGTTTATTCCAATAAAAATTATTGTTATAAAATTGATAGCTAAACATTAGTTTGATAATATTCACCCTTTCCTGATTTTAGCACCTGGTGTAAAAACCCAAATTGTGTCAATACTTACAGAACTTTGTTCGAAGCTTTGACCACTGGCAGCAGCCTGAGAAAGGCCTCATCTGAAGCAGAGTATTTCTTCAGGTCAAACACATCCAGCTCTTCTCCTGATGTCACTAAGATGAAGGCCAGAGCTGACCACTGAGCAGGAGACAGTTTATCTGTGGAGAGACTTCCTGATCTCAGAGACTGTTGGATCTCCTGGACCAGAGAATGATCCTTCAGTTCATTCAGACAGTGGAACAGGTTGATGCTTTTCTCTGCAGACAAATTCTCATTTATCTTCTCCTTCATATATTGAATTGTTTCCTGATTGGTCAGTGAGCTACTTCCTGTCTTTGTCATCAGACCTTGTAGGAGTGTTTGATTTGTCTGCAGTGAAAGACCCAGGAGGAAGCGGAGGAACAAGTCCAGGTGTCCATTTGGACTCGTTAAGGCCTTGTCCACAGCAGTCTGATGTAGACTTCTGAGTTTTACTGCCTTAGATAATTTAGACAAAACAAAAATGTTTTTTTGTTCCTTCATTAGATTGACTCGATTCTTGATGAAGGTCAGATGGACATGAAGAGCAGCCAGAAACTCCTGAACACTCAGATGGACGAAGCAGAACACCTTGTCCTGGTTCTGGTACAGCCCTCTCTCCTCTTTAAAGATCTGTGTGAACACTCCTGAGTAAACTGAGGCTGCTCTGATATCGATGCCACACTCTGTCAGGTCTGATTCATAGAAGATCAGGTTTCCTTTCTGCAGCTGATCAAAAGCCAGTTTTCCCAGAGACTCAATCATCTTCCTGCTCTCTGGACTCCAGTGTGGATCTGTTTCAGCTCCTCCATCATACTTGACCTTCTTCACTTTGGTCTGAACAACCAGGAAGTGGATGTACATCTCAGTCAGGGTGCTGGGCAGCTCTCCTCCCTCTCTGGTCTCCAACATATCCTCCAGAACCGTAGCAGTGATCCAGCAGAAGACTGGAACGTGGCACATTATCTGGATGCTTCTAGATCTATTGATGTGGGAGATGATCCTGCTGGCCGTCTCCTCATCTCTGAATCTCTTCCTGAAGTACTCCTCCTTTTGTGGGTCATTGAACCCTCTGACCTCTGTCACCATGCCAACACACTCAGGAGGGACCTGATTGGCTGCTGCGGGACGTGTGGTTATCCAGAGGAGAGCAGAGGGAAGCAGTTTCCCCCTGATGAGGTTTGTCAGCAGAACATCCACTGAGGTGGACTCTGTAACATCAGTCAGGATCTCCTTGTTCTGGAAGTCCAGAGGCAGTCGACTCTCATCCAGACCATCAAAGATGAACAGAACCTGGAAGTGATCAAAGCTGCAGATTCTTTTGGTTTCAGTAAAGAAGTGATGAATAAGTTCCACCAAGCTGAACTTTTTCTCTTTCAGCACATGCAGCTCTCTGAAGGTGAATGGAAATATGAACTGGATGTTCTGGTGGGCTTTGCCTTCAGCCCAGTCCAGAGTGAACTTCTGTGTTAAGACTGTTTTCCCAATGCCAGCCACTCCCTTTGTCATCATTGTTCTGATTGGTTGATCTCTTCCAGGTGGGACTTTAAAGATGTCTTCTTGTCTGATTGTTGTTTCTGGTCTGGTTGGTTTCCTGGATGCTGTTTCAATTTGTCTGACCTCATGTTCATCATTGACCCCCCCAGTCCCTCCCTCTGTGATGTAGAGCTCTGTGTAGATCTGGTTCAGAAGGGTTGGACTTCCTGCTTTAGCGATCCCCTCAAACACAGACTGGAACCTCTTCTTCAGACTGGATTTAAGTTTATATTGACAAACTGAGGCAAAATGCTCTGAAAGATGAAAGTGTAGTTTTAGCACTGAAACTATTCCTACCATTAGCTTGTGCTATTTAAGCTCTTGACTGGAATAAATTCATCATGTATCCATCAGGTTAAATCTGTATTTAAATCCTCTTACTGCTCTGCAGACGTTCAGCCAGCTCCTCCTGCTTCATCCTCTTCATAAAATTGAGGGTGATTTTCACCAAAGCTTCTCTGCTGCACCTCTGCTCTTCCTCCTCACCTTCCAACACCTCCCCATCCTCCCAATGATGCTCTAAGCCTTCTGGTTTATCTGGACTCAGAACCTTTTGGATCTTCTTCAGCTCGTTCTTCACAAAACTAACAATGTTTTCCTCCAGCAGCTGAACAGAACAATAAATGAAGGACACATCAGACTGAGATCATGGAGCCAAACATAGGATCCATGTTGGACAGACTGACAGTCCTTTGGTCTACAAAGCCCAGCATAGAGATGGCTGTGAAAAGAACCCATGGAGAATTAGTTGTGATAAATGTACAGACCTTAAATATGAAGTCCAGTTTCGTTTGGTGCTGCTGTGCAGATGGACCACTGGGAACCTTTGAGTTCTGCAGGTTCACTCTGTGGAGGAACCAGGAAGCATTATTTCACATTCTACAAAAAAAAAAAAAAAACAAACAGACAAAGATAAAGGTCCTTGTGATATTCTGCTGCAAGCTATAAATAGGGACGTCTGTCACCAGAGAGGAAGATCCTGCCTGAGCAGGAGTTTGAGTTGCCATGGTAACAGAATTAATCATGGCTGATCTTTATTTATTTATTTTTTTATCTATACAGATTAATCTCACTACCACACTTAGGGACACCTGTCACCAGAGAGGAAGATCCTACCTGAGCAGAGTTTAAGTTGCCATGGTAACAGAATTAATCATGGCTGATTTCTATTTATTTTTTTCATCTATGCAGATTAATCTCAGTGCCACATTGGGTCTTGCTTTAAAGAAAGATTTGTCTTCCAAAGAATTGTAATATATTGTTAGAGAATATTTTCCTATCAACTTTCCCTAACTCTAACCCTACTAATGTCATATGCTAGGCCTGGGTGCAGGCCAGTTTTTCTCTTTCTCTCCTCTGCAGGGCTGGACGGGCAGGTGCTCTTCATCAAGCTGATTACCACCTTTCTTAAGGAGCTGGAACAAGGAGGAGGGCGTCAGTTCGTTAATGCTCCATCGTGGTACAACTGATCCTTTACCAAGCCTTGCTTCTTAGCTTTGCCTAGACGTAACCCTCTACTCTCTTGCTCCTTCTCCTAGAACCCAGGATCCCAAGCCTGCAACCGCTCCACAGAGACCTCTACACTCTGGACTCCTGTCAGAGGTGTTTCAGTCAGCCTCAAAGAACCAGTGAGGCTACGGGCCTCTGAACAATTAAAGCCCTCCTGCCTGAGCTCCCCTGAGACACCACCATCAGATCTCACCCACTGGACCTGCAACATTCGCCTGGACCACTTGTCACCATCCTCCCAAGACAGACACCAAGCCGCCCTCTCTGTGAGTTACATACATCCCTCACTCTTCAACCAGCACCGATCTGTTGCTCACCTGTCACCTAACCCCTACAGCAGTATCCTGAAAACCCTGCCTGCCGGACTTCACTATGTACAACCTCAAACCTTCAATAAACCCCTTTAACTGATTCTTGCCTCTGTGATTGCTCTTATTCAGAGTCTGTAAACGAAAACATGACAACTAAAGGATCAGTACATCTAATCTTCGTCTGTGATCAGAGGCTGCCGCTTCTCTGTTTCATTGAATGACAGGAAATAGGTGACACAGATATTAAACCAATTAATGATCAGTTTATGAAAATATGGATGAAGGCAAGTTAATCAGTCAGAACAAAGTTAAAAGGGAGGTTAGAGGTATGCCTCCTAAGACAAATCTGTTGCTTCATGCTAAATATGGTCCAACATCTGAGAGAGCTAACAGGAGGATTCATGGAAATAACAGGAGGAAAAATTGAAATTTCTTCAGTTTAAAAGAAAAACTATTTGATTTTTCTATAAAAATAAATGTACCTAAAATTTTTGTTCAACATAAAAAAACTTATTCAAACAAAACTGAAAGATGGAAAGCAGGGGCGGATGTAGGATTCTTGGAGATCAGGGGGTAAGCCCTGATGGTGAAGATGAGAGTGCAGACTTTCTGGTAAATCCCGTTCTAATGTAAAATATGACAGATTACTGGATTAAGGACATTTATAGTATACTACATGCCATTAAAACATAACAACTTTTGAGAATTTGGAAATAATCTGTTTGAAATAATCTGACTCCCCTCCAAAACATGGGAAAAAATTGACTTATCTGCAAGTCTTTAACTGTGCATGTTCCTCTATTCATCAATAACAAATCCTGAGGATTTAGTGACATTTGATCATCTTTTCAGGAATTGTTCATTTTTGTGCCCTGCTATCAGCCAGTTTCCATCCTCTTGTATCAGCAATGAAAGCTTATAAATACACACTACACTACAGTCCAAAATCATGGACACGCCTTCTCATTCAAAGAGTTTTCTTTATTTTAATGACTATGAAAATTGTAGATTCAAACTAAAGGCATCAAAATTATGATTGAACACATGTGGAATTATATACTTAACAAAATAGTGTGAAAAAATTGAAAATATGTCTTATATTCTAGGCCCTTCGAAGTAGCAACCTCATACTTTGGTTACTGCTTTGCACAATCATGGCAGTCTCTTGATGAGCTTCAAGAGGTAGTCACCGGATATGGCTTTCACTTCACAGGTGTCTTTTTTCAGGTTTAATAAGTGGGATTTCTTGTTTTATTAATGGGACCATTGTGTTGTGCAGGTGGATACACAGCTGATAGTCCTACTGAACAGACAGTAGAATTTGTATAATGGTAAGAAAAAAGCAGCTAAGAAAAACGAGTGGCCATCGTAACTTTTAGAAATGAAGGTCAGTCAGTCCAAAAAATTGGCAAAACTTTGAAAGTGTTCCCTAGAGCATCACAAAAACCATCAAGCGCTACAAAAAACTGGCTCACATGAGACAGTTTTTTTGGCTCACCTTTCATCATCTTCATCATCTGAGTCACCAGCTTCAGAAATCACAGCTTAACAGCAGCTCATATAGACACCAGGTCAATGCCAAATAGAGTTCAAGCAGCAGACACATCTCTAGAATAACTGTTAAGAGGAGACTGTGTGAATGAGGGATTCATGATAAAATAGATTCTAGGAAACCACTACTAAGAACAAGCAAAAAGAAGAGACTTGTCTGGGCTAAAGAACACCAGGAATGGACATTAGACCTGTGGAAATCTGTGCTTTGGTCTGATGAGTCCAAATTTGAGATCTTTGGTTCCAACCATCGTGTCTTTGTGAGACGCAGAAAAGGTCAACGGATGGATTCTACATACCTGGTTCCCACCATTAAGCAAGGAGGAAGAGGTGTGATGCTGTGGGGGTGCTTTGCTGGTGACACTGTTGGGGATTTATTCAAAATTGAAGCATACTTAACCAGCATGGCTACCATAGCATCTTGCAGCAGCATGCTATTCCATGCCGCTTGTGTTTAGTTGGACAATCACCTATTTTTCAACAGGACAATGACCCTAAACACACCTCCAGGCTGTGTAAGGGCTATTTGACCAAGAAGGAGAGTGATACGGTGCTGCGCCAGATGACCTCCACAATCACCGGATCGAGTGAAGACAAAAGTGCCAACAAGTGCTAAGCATCTCTGGGAACTCCTTCAAGTGCAAAACAGTAATCAAAGCAAAAGGTGGCTGCTTTGAAGAACCTAGAATATAAGACATATTTTCAGTTGTTTCAAACTTTTTGTTAAGTATATAATCCCTAATATAGCTTTGATGCCGGCAGTGTGAATCTTCAATTTTTATAGTCATTAAAATAAAGAAAACTCTTTGAATGAGAAGGTGTGTCCAAACTTTTTGTTAAGTATATAATCCCTAATGTGTTAATATATAGCTTTGATGCCTGCAGTGTGAATCTTCAATTTTTACAGTCATTAAAATACAGAAAACTCTTTGAATGAGAAGGTGTGTCCAAACCTTTGGTCTGTACTGTATGTGTTGGAAAACTGTGTTTGGTGACAGACTTTTATTTCTGCCAGGCTTAAGTGACAAAAGTTGGAAAAAGACTCTTGGTGTTTAAAAAGACAACAGAAAACAGCGTAGAAAGACATCTTCTATTTATTTATTTTACAGTTTTTATTAACAAGAACTGCCGATTAAATTGGATGTTACAGCCTTGACATGATTATATGAGTTTTTTAACCTAGAAATTGATCAGATGGTCTGTGAAAATGGTCAGATCCACCTTTCTGGCTTTAATGTGAGCTCCCAACAAAGTGAGAACAGATTTTCATAGGGGAAAAACTTTTCGGAAAGACCAGCACAAACAATGTCTCAAAATCAGTCAAAGTGTCACATACCTGGGACAACAGTCTGTTTAGCAACAGCTGTTGGTGTGGCTCATGGTGGTGCTGATGCAGCGATCTACTTTTTGAAAAAGCTTTTTATATCCATTAATATCTGTCACTGACCTCTCCATTTCAAATTTGCCGCGGAGGTGCTCAACTCCTATAAGCTGGCAGCGACGAGAGGGAAACACTTCTTCTTCTGCACGGGAATGCTAAAGGCTGCTCTCCTACATATGCTGCCACTATGTGGTGAATGCCAGGACTGCACATTTTACTTAGATTAGCTCAGAAGTGAGATGCAGGCCCTTGGGGGAACATCCAGGGCTGTAGCCCTAGATGCCGCCCACTAGAACCACTACTGACGGAAAGTAAGGTTTAGGTATTTCTACATGTGAAATATTTAGTGTTGCTCCATATCTTCACCAAGAGTAATAACCAAGATAAAGGGGTTGTGTTATCTTGGATTACATGCCTATCAAGTCTTATTTTCTGATTCAAAATATAAATTAAATGAATCAAAACATTTCAAAGTGGGTCAGTTCTTTTTCATGTAGCTAAAACTGTTGGGAGCTGGGGAAGTACCACCTTCCTCCAGCAGAGTCCGCCGTGGATCCTCCTGAGTTGAGCCTCCTGCCCAGCTGCAGCCCATTCCATCATCAGAGGATCCACAGTACTTAAGCTGTCTTCAGACCTTGCCTCAACGCCGCAGTGTTGATCCAGTTGGTTAGCACCTAAGCCAAGTATCTCTGTGAACCTTTGTCAACTTCTGAATCCAGTCAGGATTCTAACCTTTGTCTCTGTCTTCCAGGAAACCAGTTTTTCCCTTGTGAAGCTCAGGAAGAGCTTAACCTGCTGAGCCTGCCCTCTGAGCCAAACCTGAAGCCTCTCTCTGGACTTCCATGCAGCTCTGGACCAAGAGCTGGAAACTCAAAGCCAAGGTCTGCTCATTTTTTGGAAGTAAGACGCTGAAGCAGCTTACGGACTCTGCTGATCAAATCCTCTCCAGATCCGACAGTTTCCCTCTCAAGGCTTTCATCAAGAACCCTCAAGGTATAAATCAGAGACTGTCAAGAATCAAACTCCTATGCGCAACGCTAACTGAACTGTTTCTCACGCAGACTCCGGTGAACCAGTTTCCCAGGCCAGAACCAGAACCAGTCACTAACTCTGTGCTTGTGAAAATAAACTCTGTTAAACCTTTAACTCCTGTTTCCGTCTCAGTGGTGTTCTGCATAATTGGGTCACACCAGTGAACCCATCATGACAGAACACTGCGGCCAAACACAAGGCCCAGCAGATCACCTCCGCCATCGCTTGGAGGAGCAAGATGCCCAAATCCAAGGACAAACCCAAACACTCTGTGAGCTATATTGTTTGGTTGATACTCACAATCATATGCTTCAGAGTTACGCTAATTTTTTGAGCAATGCTAATGCCACGCCGGCAGCGCAACCATTTCCGGGTCCAGCTCCTCCTCCGAGGTTACCAGCAGTGATGTCATCAGAGTTCCGCCCAAGCCTTCCAGAAAGATTCTCTGGTAATATGAAAGATTGCAAGGGATTTTTGTTTCAGTGTCGTTTAATCTTTCAAAACTCACCTGGCAGTTTTTCCACGGACTATAAGAAGATAACTTTTGTTCTTTCCCAATTAACAGGAAGAGCCTTGGAGTGGGCTCAGGCAAGGTTTGCCTCCGATGAAAGTCTCAATTGCAGTTATTCAGAGTTTATTTCTGAATTTTCTCAGGTATTTAATCAAAAAACAGATCAAACCATTGACTCTCGTGCTCTTTTCAACATTAAGCAGGGAAATTCCTCTGTGGCAGAGTTCTCCATCAACTTCCGGGTTAAAGTGGCAGCTTCCGGATGGAACCAAAGCGCTCTGAAAGGGGCTTATTTTATGGCCTTAAACGAAAGCATTAAGGATGAACTAGCAACCCTCGACGAACCAGCCACTCTCGAAGAATTAATCCGTTTGACAATAAGATTGGACAATAGAATCCGAGCTAGAAACAGCTCCAAGTCAAGAAATCTGGGATCATTTTCCTCTGCCCCTACCTCAAATAATGTGACTGTTTTTTCTTCTCCCACAGAACAGTTGCCCAAACCGAGATCTAAAGCCCAGTCTCTCACTTTGCCTGTTCAGGCCTCTCATTCTGGGGAAATGGATGCCGAACCCATGCAGGTGGGACACACCAGGCTCACTCCAGAGGAAAGACAAAGACGTTTTTTGAGTAAACTATGCATCTACTGTGGTGAGAGTGGACACTTCATCGCTTCTTGCCCGGCTAAATCAAAAGCCTGGGCCCGCCAGAGGATCTGAGGAGTCTGGCGGGCCAAACTAACTCTAAGAAATCTCCTCGTCTGATGCTTCCTGCCACTTTGTTTTGTGCTAATCAAAGCCTCTCTTTCTCTGCATTCATCGATTCAGGCTGTGAAAGAAACTTAATTGATTCTAACCTCGTTCAACAACTCCAGATTGAAACTATCCCCCTGACCCAGCCTCTTTGTGTCTCTGCCATTGATGGGAAAAGACTCCACCAAGTTACCCATCAAACTCAACCTCTCGAGCTACTACTTTCAGGTAACCATCGTGAAACCATAACATTTTTTGTTTTTCCTTCCGCATGCTCTCCCCTGGTGCTTGGATTTGAATGGTTGGAGAAACATAATCCACATATTAACTGCCCTTTGGTTTAACAAACGCCCCTGCCTGTTTCCAAGCCCTTGTGAATGATGTTCTCAGAGACTTTTTAAATGTGTTCGTGTTCGTCTACATTGACGACATACTCATTTATTCAAGGAACCTTTCTGAACATAAGAAACATGTCCGCCTTGTGTTGCAAAGATTACTGGAGAACAAACTGTTCGTCAAAGCTGAAAAATG